CTGTCCGGCCTCCATTATTCTGGATGAGCCATTCAAATGGCTCTTACTGGATCCAAGTCAGTGCCTGCAGATAAATCCCATTCCCAGCCAAATGCTGTCATGAGAAGTCACTCAGTCTTCTCTCCTCCTCCCTCCTCCCAAGCAACAGAATCCAGATCCCTCCAGTTTCTATTTCAAGCCCCTCCAGCAGGGTACCTCAGATGACCTCGCTTCTCTGGCCTCTTCCTTCCAGCCCCTCCTAAAACCTGGCTCTGCCATGCCCCTTGGAACCTCCATGGGTCTCCTGGACTTGCGCCCCTCCTCCCACCATGAGGTCAAGGCATAGATGGCTAAGGACATGACCTCTGAAACCCAGCTGCCTGGGTGCAAGTCCTGGCTGGGTCACCTTGGGCAAGTCATGCACACTGAGCCACAGTCTGCTCACCTGCAAAGTGAGTGAGAAAACAATAGCACTTTCCCTGATGACACACAATACTAGGTAAGTATTATTACTATGTACCAGGCTGTCTTCAGGCACGGTACCTGTATTGAAGCATTTAATCCTCACAAAGCCCTTGACGGAGGATACCCTCATCATCCCCATTCACAACCAAGGACCCGGATGCAGGAGAGATTAAATAATTGTCCACAGCTGCACAAGTGGGAAAGGTCTGACACAAACCAGGGGGTGACGTTCCAGCCTCATGCAGTTGTTGGGAGGATTAAATGTACTATGACAATGCCTGGTTCACAGAAGTGAACCATGGCCAGTGTCAGCTGCTAAGAATGTGATTATGACCTCCCATTCCAGCTCCTGGGAGCCCACTTGGTTGCGCAGGCTGCTCTGTTTATCCAAGGGGCACCCACAGACCCCCGCCCTGCCAAGCCTCCTCTGCCCCACCCTGGCACTGGTCCACTGGCACCCTGAGAACATGGCTGATATTGCCTACCGCCAAGCTTGGCCTGTTTTCTAGTCAATTGTCTGCATGTCCTCTCTCCACGGATGGCTGGGACCTCAGCTCATCTCGGCTCTAATGTCCCCAGAGAGGAAGGAACACAGCAGTGTGAACTCAGCATGAAATAACACGGGACTGGAGTGACAGAGATGCCAGCGACATCTTGGGGCCTGCACAGGTTGAGGGAGATGCCAGCAGGGACTGTGGCTCACTGACCCCATTTCCCTCCCCAACACTTGGCAGGGCTTTAGGGAGACTGAACTGAACCTAGACAGCACACAAGCTGTCCAAGGGCAACTACTGGCAGCAGATGGGCAGGCAGGGGAGTAGGAGGAGAAGGCACAACCTTCAGATGGGCTGGCCTCAGATCCCTGCCGCTAGTTCTGTGTCCCACACAGCTTTTTATAAGCTCGCTGGGTCTCAGTTTCCTCACTCACAACAGAGTAGCAATGCTGACTTCAGAGAGGTGCACTAGCTGTGTTCACAAAGGACTTTACAGATAGAGCACCTAGCCATGCACCCTGCACTTAACGGGTTCAGTAGCTGGTGGTCATCATTGTTGTTTGCTTATTTCAGTGTTTAGGGAGTCAGCAGGCAGCAGTCCTGGTTTCGATTCACCTGCTAACCCACCTTTGCTCTTGAGCGAGACATTTCTCCTCATCTCTCCCATGGAAAATGAGGCCACCTTGGGTGACTTGTAAGATTCACCAGAGTTTTGGCTTACTATGTTCTTTGATGATCTCCTTCCATCTCTGAGCTGCACCCTATCTAGAAACCTGGAACAAAGTCTTCTCTCAGATGGTACAGATACCACACCTCACTCCACCCAGGCAGGAGGGCACACCAGGTGTGCAAGTTTTCTTAGAATGAGGACTCTGCCTCTGCTCCCAAATCCAGAAGACGAACAGTTTAACTGTGGCTTAAAGGGCAAAGAAAGGAAGAAAAGTAAAACAACCCCAGTGTGAGGCCAAACTCTACGCTGCCCCTCCCATTCTATATATATCAGCTGTCATGTGAGAAGCAGGCAGGGAGGAGGCTCTGGTTCGCTCCCCAGTGACACATGCTACAATGAGAAAAGATCCCTTCATTATGTGTCCACTTAGCGCTCGTTCCAACATGCCACAAAGTGGAAGTAATTAAGGAAACTGTGTAAACCTCGGGGCAACCTTCCCCGGGCCTCCTGCACACAGCTTCGCACATGTGGGCACGTGGCAGCGTCAGCCCTGGCTTCCCTCAGCTGTCCAAATTAGGATCTGATGGTGGCCTGTGCACAGCCTGGTGCTGAGTGTGAGCATATGGGTGAGCACGTGGCTCCCAGGCAGAGCCAGGTGGGCATGGGAGGGTCGGGTGCACATGCAAACACCTGTGGGCTGGATTCTTCCATGCTCACCCGAGTGCAGAGGCAGGAGCAGCTGGGTATAGACAGCCCTTTTTGAAGGCCACCGTCATGCCAGCTTGGAGGCAAGTCCACATGGGAAATCCTCTTTTTGCCACATAAAGATTACAAGGCTTTATTTAGACTCCAGCCCCAGTGTCCAGGCAGTGGTACAAGGCGGAGAAAGCTCTTTGGCCTTCTCCTGCCCCTGCCGTCTGCTGCAGGGAACTGGAGGCTGGAGGCAACCATACTGGGAAGAGGGCCAAGGGAGACTGGTTGCTCATCCTCAGCTGGTAGAGGAAAAACAGGCGCACAGAAGACTAGTGAGCTCCATGGCTGCTTACTCTTGATTCCGTACTCACCTGCTCCACTCATTTCCAAACAGTTCATGGATAGGAAAGGGGAATAGTTAAGCCGCAAGATATGTACCCCCGCCCACTGTGACCTACAGCTTGCAATGGAAATAACATGATCAGTAACTGAAACCACTGGGTTCTGAAAGTGGCATAATTTCATGCCACCTCCATGGCAACCAATTCTCCTTCTGCAAGGAGGGGAAACATGCCCAGTGCCCCTCTTGCGCTGAGGACCTGCTGGGGGAGGCAGGACTGACTGGCTGCCTATCAACCCATAGGGGAAGGTCACTGGGGGAGCTTTCGGCAAGCCAACAAATTGTCCAGATAAGTGTCCCTAGACAGGGAACTCCGTGAAGGCAGGTCAAAGTCTTACTCATCTTTTGCTCAGTGTCACTACAATATTTGGTACAAGGCAAGCACTCATGGATGGCCTTTGGATTGAAGAGAAGAATACATGAATAAATAAGTCATGTCATGGCTGAGGTTGGGGTGGGAGAACAAGATGTAAAATGAAACCCTCAGGTGTCTCCTTTCTTCCTCCCTTCTGTTTTCTTCAAACTCAGAAGACTGTGAGCTTCCCATAAGGAAGGCAAATCCTAAACCCCTCTCTCCATCCAACGCATCAAAAAGCTCAGTGTATGCTCAGCAAAGATGGATCACCATGACAACTAGCAAGCGCCAGAGCAGAGGCAGCACTGTGAACCCCGCTCCTCTTCCCCAGGCACCATAGAGGAAACTGATGCTCCTTGCAGTTCGGTGGGAAGCCCACCTCTGAAGCTCTCTGCCGCCCAGAACACCCACCCGATGATCTATTAGACACTATCACTTGTAGCTGGTGAGGGTGGTCTTGCAGCTGACAAACCCCAAAGAGTCCTCATGCGAGTCTGCAGCAGATGCTAAAAGCAAAAGTCCTCTCATCAGCTCATGGGATAACAATTAGGGATGAGGGCCTGGGTAGGTGGATGGAGATCATTAGACTCTAACAATGTGGCACACACATAAGGAAGCCATTACACTAAGAAAACTGCAAATGTAAAAATAGAGCTCCACATAGTTTCCTGGTTACCACATTCTAATTCTGATGCTTTGTCAGTGCCAGTGAAATTTGGTTTCCTTGTGTCCCCGGCCATGCCCTGGTCCTCTTGCAAATGTACTTAGGGTGAGAGGAGATGGCCCACTGTTTGAATGCCCCATCCCTCTGCCAGGATCTTCCTCTGCAAAGCTTGCTATGGAGCAGCGAGTGTGCCTCTGCTGCTTGCACAGTCACAGTGGACCTAAGATCACTGCTGTTGACCTTTAAAGAGGTCTCAAAAGGATCAGCTCGTAAGCCAAGGTGACACTGGACCGTCTGTCTACCAGGGCATAGTGAAGGAAGGAATGGCATGCATGCTATTGGTGCCAAGTTCTGGCAGGGTCAGTCTGTGCTGTCTGCCCCAGCCTCATCCACCAGGCCAGCGCACCAAGATGTGGTTGTTAGACAAACCACCTGGACAATGTTAGGTTTTCCAACAGCCAGGTCATTACTCGGCTGGGGCAAGATTCTCCTGGCCTGGGAAGTACAGGGCAGTACTGGGTCCCTGCAGTGTGCAGTCTTATGTACCTCTGATGTGCATCAGAGCATCCGTTAGGCATTTTTTTCATACTGTGAGAAAAATCAAGACACACTCCTAAATACTACTAAGAGTTTGGCATCTGACCTAGTTAGGACCTGATCTAAGGCATATGAGGCCCTCACATATTCACTCCTCATTCATTTGTTCATAGACACTGGCACCTGAGAAAGCACCTGGAACAAGCACTGTCTCTGCCCAGAAGCAGACCACTGTGTGTGGTCACTGTTGGGTCCCTGAGGTCTGAGTAACCAGGTGATATGTTGCAACACAGGGTGACACCAGAAGGGGCTCATGTGTGGAAGTGGTCTGTTAAAAGCAGTCCTGGGAAAGGACACAGTTGCAGGCTGCTGACCAGGTAGCTCTGGCTGCCTCTCTGGCTCCCAGCACCTTCACTTTAACCTGGACTTCACACAGAAGTTGGTTCCCATTCTCCCAGTTTGCCCCCCTTTTATACAACCACAAACACACATACATACACACATAGTGACTCCCAGAACCTGAGTAATGGACAAACATGGCACCCACTGTTCACTCCTTATCCTGACCCAGAAGTGTCCTGGATTCAATGGACCAACCCAAAATTGAGTCAAATATGGAGAAGACTCAAAGTGCAGGTCACAGAATAGTGTCTAACTGTCAAGAGATGGACCTGTGTGGGCAGGGAAGAGCACTAGGCCAGTCCCCCCATCCCAGGAGGAAGTCTTCCCTCCAGAGCACTTACCCACACCAGAGAAGCTGCCCTCTGTCCTGCTCGTGGGGCTGGAGTAGCCATCAAGGGCCCAGCTGCCCTGAGGGATGGGGCCAGGCTCCTGGTCTGTCTGCAACCTGTGGGACCAAGAAGGAGCGATCATTCATGGCCTCCAAGCCGCTCCATGAACTAAGAAAACTCCTCAAGCCTGACTTTCCCCTGCAGGTGCCCTCTGGTGACGTCAGTTGTCTTTTGGTGTTCTACCCATTCACAGGACAGTGGGCACTGGCCAAGTACCGGGAGGTCAGGAAAAGAGCAACAGGCTCAGCCTGGGTCACAGTGACTCCTAGGAGGACAGGCTCACCCTGGCCAGTTATGGTAGCAAGAAGGAAGGGTGAGGTCTCCGGGCACCAGCTCCCAAGTGCACACAGACCTCTGAGCACAACCCCAACTGTACACTCGCTCCCAGGAACAAAGGCCGTGGGAGCTTTCATTATAGGCAATTACCCTGGGCTCTTGGAGCTGGCCCGCCCACCCATCAGCCCGCTGTCGCCAGCTAAATGGATCCTTTGGCAGCTTGGCAGGAAGGGGAGGGAAGGACTGTGCAGGCAAGAGGGGAAACTGACGGGCTGGGCCAGGGGCCCTAGTAGTCCCCAGTGCTGCTGAGATTTGTCTTTCACTCTGCAGCTTGTACTTCTTTCCGCACCTAGACAGCTATCACTTGGGCCCAGCTCTGCTGTAAGCTCACTGTGTAACTGGCAGCAAATCTCTTTGCCACTCAAGGCCTGGCTTCCATCACAGGGCAAAGGGATGACCTCCAGGGCTCAGGGCAGTCTGACATCTGGGGTTGCAGGAGGTGTCTGTGGCCACCGCTAGGCTCTCTCTAAGCCACTCAGGCTGTGTTGAGCTCTCCTGGGTCTGCAGGTCCCGGGGTGGTGCGGCACTGGGAATAAGGCAGGGTAGAGTGAACCTAAGAAAGCAAGAGACTCCATCCTATCCCCCAGAGGTGCCTGGTATGATAGGAACACTCTGCTCAGGTACAGGAGTGCCAAGGGGACATAGAAAAGCTGGAGTTGACTGTTTTGCAAGTTAGCATGGACTCTGGCTTTTGAACTAAGAAATGCAACATATTGGTGAAAAAGTAATAAAAATTCTACTGGGGAGAGGGAATTCTATGAAACGCATCAAATGTTTCACTGAATGACATCGTTTTTGTAAAGAGCTAGGAACAGTGTCTTGCTCAGAGCGGGCATAATCAGCATCAAAAATAGGAGTGGTTTGCTATCCTGATTGTTACTGGCATTCACAGCATGCAAGGGACTTTGATCCTAGGAGCATGGAGGAGGGCAGCCTTTAGCCCTCCGTCCTCAGTCAGCTTTGCACTTGAATCTACATCTGCCTCTACCTCCCCAAATATACCAGGTCTCTGTGTCTGCCCACCTATTACCCTGAAAGGACAGTGCTAGCTATGCTACAAACCAATCAGAACTAAGCTTCTGGGGGTGCGGCCCACGCAGGCAAATAGGCAGTGTTCGGCACTTCGGGGCTTCCGCTCGGGGCAATCACGCTTCAGGCGGCGGGGAGGATGGCCTTGCTCAGGAAGTTGAACCAGAGGGAAGAAAACCATAACAGTGACACCAATAACCCTATCCTCCTGACACTATTAACCAGAATTTCCTAAATGAAGTCCAACCCAAGATTCGCTCAGTAAAGGAAGGAGTGACTATTGGGGCAGCTAGAAACAGCAAGGGCAGCTAGAAAGAGTACAGCTGCCAGGGTGATTTTCCAGGAATATGGAGGGGAGTGAGAAAGGAGAGAAGACCAGAGGATCCAGAGGGCAGTCCATGGGGGCCCTTCACCTTCTCCTGGCCAGAGAGCTGGGGCATCCAGAGGAGGTGGCAGATGGCAGAAAACTGACTTCACTGGGAGAACTGCACCAGGATCCTTTTGAAAAGAGATGGCTGGGAAGATGGGGAAGGGCAAAAAGTGACTGATGGATTCATTCTCTAGAGAAGCAGGCCAGGCGCAACCAGACTGGAGATGATGCAGGGAGCCCTGGAACCTCTGCTTTTGCATCTACCTAGGGCTTTGCAATAGGCCAAGGTGCTGGAGGTGGGGAACAGATTTCCACGAAAACAGGCTGTCTACAGATTCTAGGGAGCAGATGGCACCTCTTTGGCTATGAAGCTTGGAAGGGCGGCCCAGCCAGGCTCTTGGCAGAGTTGCCCATGGCAGCAGCTCTTGGCCCTGCAGGGTGTGCTGAGTCCCCGCCATCTGCCTGAGCGTTATGGGGTTTCCTTGGTCCTCCTCTCACCTTTGCTTGGTCTCACCCATGACCCTCTCTCCACCCCTAATCCAGGACCTGAAAGGAGCAGGGTCTAGGCGGTGGGGTGGCCAAGAAAATCTCTATTGGGGTGATGTGACATGTTTCCACTTGTGTTGAAAATGCAAACATGCAATAAATGTTTGTTTAATGAAGGAGATAGGTTCTGTTTAAATTGCATTGAAATCTTCAGAGAAAATATTCTGACCTCCCTTGGAAAATGTCAGGTTCTAAATATATCAGGGGACTTCTACAGTGAGTAATATAAAATCTTCAACCGTTTAATGCCTAGATACTTTTTCCCAAGGAATGAATTCAAAACAAAGGGTAGCAGGTAGGAGAAGAAAGTCCAGGAGTCACCAGGAAAACATTTAGCTGACTGGAGAAAGGACATTCAGGGGAAGGTCAGGTTGGACTGTACCTTAGTGCCAGGGTATTTGCCTAGCAGGTGAGAGGGCCTGGGTTCATTCCCCAGGACCACAGGAAGGAGGTCTGCCCTGCATTTTTGCTTCTTGAGTTCTCTCATCAGCTTTAGCATACAAGTTGAGAAAGTCATGAGGTGCACAGTGAATTGGCCCTTTTGGAAAAGGACAGCAGTACACTTTGTGGTCAGTACAGTCCAGCAGAAGGGATGATCAGAGAACAAGAGATCATCAGGTAAAAACTCCCTTTGGCCATGGAAGCTGCTGGAATCCCTGCAGTGATGGGGAATTCACTGCCTGACAGTCAATTTGCAATCTTCTCAAGTTGCTGGAAAGTTCTATTAAGCCTCAAATCTGCCTCGAACTAACTTCTAACTTCTAACCACTATGATGCTGAGTCAGCTCTTTGGAGCTGCACCAAGTAAATCTAATTCATCTCACAACATGACAGCCTTTCAAATATTTGAGAACAGCTCTCAGGTCCTTCTAAGCCTTCCTCTTCCAAAGCAAACTTCTTTAGTTCCTTTAATCATTTTTATAACACCTTTTTTTGGGACCCTTTACTAGCCTGTCAATCTTTCCCTAAATGTGTTTTGGTGTTACTATCCTTTTTAAGATGTGGTGCTCATAACTGAAAGTAGCACACTGAAGGAGACCTGAACACAGCAGAATACAGTGGGGCTATTCACTTGCTTCTCCTGGACCCCAAACACTTATCACTATCATATAAAGCTGCACTGGACTGTCCAGAGGTCAAGACACAATGAGTTGGCTTCCAGTGAAGGCTGAAGCCCCTAGAGGGTTTCTGTGCCACATCCAGCTGCTCTGATGCCTCAGAGAACCCGGTGTCTAGGGAGCAAATATGCAAGCTTTTCTATACCGGAATTATAAATGAGAGCTTCTCCGGGCATGAGCATAGGAAAGAACCAGGAATTTAGTTTACTCAGGAAGGTACATACCATGCATTTGAGTCTTCCTTAACTGTATAATAATTAGTCATTACAATGAGTAATTAAGAGTAAGTAGATGCTACTTAATGTGGTCATTTTAGTAAAGAGTTAAATTTTTATTTAAAAAGCATAGTTGGCTAAGTGTTTTTTCTCTGTAGTTAACTTGTCACGTCTTAAACAAGGTGGAGAGAAGGGGGTTAGTGACCACATTGCTGTGAATACTGATCAGCCACTCCCTCTGCCAATGATAGCAGTGCCCACGTAGCTATTTAATAGTATCACTGACTGCTGATACGCCATGCTCACCAACAGATATGCATAAGCCAATATAATAGGTGGAGCCACAAGAAATGTGAGAAAGACAGACACGAAATATTACGAAAACAACACTGTGAAACAGGATTTCATTCACTATAAAGTGAAGGCACAATGTCCAGGACAAGGCTGCACAGTGGTGGCAAATGTTCAATATGAATCAAGCAGGATGGGTGTACCTGCTTACCCACCTACCTATATATCTAGCTGCTAGGATTTAGATCTAGAATGTTCTGAAAAAGTCTCAAGTGTTCAGTGGGGGGAGGCTTTGAAAGGTGAATGGATCACAGAGCACCATACTCAGCAGTGGATCAACCCATTTGATGAGGTCATAGGTGAATGCATTAGGAGGTGGTATTCAGCTGGAGGAGGAGTGGCACTGTAGGCTTGCCTTTGGAGAAAGCATCTCCCTCTTCGGCTCCTTGCTTCTCTTTCTGCTTCCTGGCTGCTATAGTTTGAGCAAACATGCTCTTCCAGGCCCTTCCATCACACTCTTTCTGCCTTGGAGCCAGCTAACAATAGACTGGACTCATTGAAATCTGAGGCAAAATAAAGCTCTCTTTTTTAAGTTGTGGGTGTCACGTATTTTGTCCCAACAACAGGAAAGTGACTAACACATTAGCTGTTTAAGCAACCACAATATGTAATATACTGTTTCATCATTTCCCAGAGAGCAGGACAAAAGGACATATTAAGGATACCCTCCTGTAAGTCTGTTTTCTGTGGAGTCCCCCGAGTTCAGAAAGACCAGAGGTTAGTTTTGTGCTCTCAGTCCCAGCTCAGCTTGCCAACCCCCAGTTCTCTAGGCTTCCTCCCACCCAGCTGTTTTCTCTACACCCTGGAGCCCTCGTGTCCGTCCTCAAAGCCCCTCTCCTCTGGCCTTGCCTCTCAGTGCCAGCCGAATTCTTCCCTCCTACCCTCCCTGGCTGCTCCTCCAGCTCACCTGTACTGGAAGGGGGCCACGGTGGCTGTGATGGGCTGGCTCTGCTGATGGACCGAGGAGAAGTTAATGGCCCCTGGGCTGGGAGAGGTGCGCTTGCTCTGTGCTGGGCTGTAAGCTGGCGAGGAGGCCCCTGAAGCTGCTCCATCAGCAGACTCTGGAGAATGTGTGTAGTTTATATCTCTTTGATCTTTTCCTGGGCAGCTAGGAGGCTTTCGACCTTCAGGAGCCCCTGGTATTTGAGTTTCTACATGAGCACTTGTCTGGGATGGGCTCCTGCCATGGGTCTGGTGGGCTAGAATCCCTTCCTGGGCCTTCTTCTTCTTTCCCTGGGTGCCTTGTGTCTCCCCGACTCTTCTGGTCCCTGCCCGGCTGGAGGGGGCTGCTTTGGGGGTTACTCTGGGACTGCTCCAGGGGGAGCTGGGGAGGCCTTCACCACCCTCAGCCAACTCCCTTGCTGCCCCAGTAGCTCTTGGAGAGCCTCTCCCGCGGGAGGCCTTGGGCGAAGAGTTTCTGGAAGAGCCCGCAGCCTTGACCAGCCTTGGAGAAGCCGCTCGCTGTGGGCTGAGGGCCAGGCCGGCCTGGCGCGGTCGCAGCTGGGGAGATGCACCCGGCGTGGGAATCCTGGTCTGGGAAGAGGCTCTGGGCACAGGGATGGAGGAGGCATAGTGAGGGCGGCTGGCAGAATTCACGTTGGCCATCCCATTCATGGCGTGGCCGCCAGAGCGGACTACTGTCCTGCAAAGAGGAGAAGGAAGGACATGGTCAGAGAAGGAACCATGCTGCTGGGGCTGGCAGGGAGGCACAAGTACCTAGGCAGGGCATCAGCACCGCTGGGCTCCCATCCTGCCTAAGTCGGCAAATTCCTGTACCTTCTGCTCTAATGGGCTTTATTGAAGCTCTTGCCAGCTCTTATTCGAAAGTGCTTGGCAAATTGCAGTGCTTCACTTAACTTCCCTTGATCTCTCTTCTCCATTGATCAGGGACACAGCCTCTGCCCTCTCAAATGTCCTGCCCATAGCAGACAAACTCCCTCACGCCTTCAGCCTTTTCTCGTCATATTCCTGCCACATGCACATGCTCAGTCAGCCCCTGCATCTCCCCAGGACACCTCTCCAGTGGAGCACAATCTTCTTCCCCAGGCCCTTGGACCCAAAAGGACCAGTCACAACTCTCCCAAATCATAAACTTGTAACTGGTAACCCTCTCTCCTCAAGGGTCCTGCCACCCTGCTGTGCCCCAGCTCCACAGTCACTGGGAATTTGGGCACCTGGATCAGTCTTCCTCTCTACCCATCCCCTACCTACCAATACCTCCTATCCTGGCGAAAGACCTCTGTCATCTCCTTACCCCTCTGTAGTCTCAGACACTGAGTGTCCTACTTTTGGCTTGAGGCAGCTCCCGCTACACACTTCCTGCCAATAGCACTTAATCTGTCTTCTTCCAAATCTCGCTTCAGTAATTATTTCATCTCTCTCCAGGATCTCAAGCCCCCCTCCTCACTAGCTTCCTGCTCTGTCATGTTAATTAATGAAGTAATCACTCTCATTTCAAAGGAAATTCGCAGTATTTACAAAGACACATGCTACCAGTTCTGGAATAAAGAGTTAAATGTAAAAGTTGAAAGTATAAAAATTTATAGAACACATTCATGAATGTTTACACAATTTTGTTATGGGAAGTACTGCATCAGAGATAGAAACCATCAAGAAAAATACTGATAGATTCTCAGTACATAAAAATTAAAATCTCTGTATGGATCAAAAAATATATATATACTTTCAAGAGGTTCAAGGAATGAAAAAATGCAAAAATACTTCCAACAAGGATGAAAAACAAATAATTAATACCTTTATTACAGGGAGCTCTACCAACTCAATAGTAACAAATCATAGAATAAAGGGCAAAAGATAAGCAAGAAACTCACAAAGTAACAAATACAATTAACCACAACAACCCAGAGATAAAGGACTCCCACAGAAATTGAATATGTGCAAATTAAATAAATTCTGATTTGCTGGTATTGACTTTACTATCATTTAGAAAATCATGAGCATTGCTAAGACTATGAGAGCCCTCATACACTGCTGAGAGAACAATGCTGGATCTAGAATTAATCCTAGGGAAATGATTAAAGATGTGGGCGAGGATTTGCATACAATGGGAATACTCTAGTTGCCTCTCACAGGGTTGAGCTGTCATTGGGTGCAGATGGAGATAAAGGATATCTGGGACATGAAAAACTACCAAAGCATAGCCAGCCCACCTGAGACCAGAGAGCCCTTGTGCACACCATGGATGAAGATGTCAGCAAAAGCCTGGGCTGGCTGATGGCTATTGTTGACCTTTCCCTGACCTCTGACTGTGCTCTGGGATCAGCTACAGACTAAACTCTCAGAAGTTAATGTAGTGGCTGGGCATTTAGCTCAGCGGCACAGCGCCTGCCTGGCAAGTGCAAAGTCATGAGTTTGATTCCTGGAAAAACAAACAAACAAACAAACAAACAAACAAAAAGAAGTCAATGTAGATGTAGAGCAATGATGGATTTATAGAACCACAGCTGGTAATGACTGTGAGAGTCAGGGTTTGTAGGAATGCTCTACCCACAGGTAAAATGATTTCCACAAGAAAGAGAAATGCTGTGATCCCTCCCCTTTCCTCTAATTTGTACTTAAATGACTTGATAACATTACTGGATAGGCTATCACATGTCCAAGGGCAGCCAAACTTCTGCTTCCTCCCCATCTATCTCATGCTGCTTCCAGCCACTCACCAGGCTACAGACAAGAGTGATGCTCTGCCTGCCCACAGTGTCGGCACCAGCACGCCAAGAACTGCCCAACAAGGGGGACCGAGAAGTACTTTTATAAACGGATCTCAGGGGAGTCAAGCAGGTACTGCCTGCAGCTGTGAAAATCAGAAAAAATTATTTAACCTCTCCATGCCATGTGCAAAATGAGGGCAGGAAAATATCTAGAAACTGCAGACAGGAGAAGACTGGGAGTCTTCCAGACAAGAAAAGAATACTACGCTTGAGCCTGAGGGCGTGTAGTCAGAATTCTCCTCCAGCAGAGATGAGAGTAGATTTACTTTGTCATCTTTCATACAAACACCTTTTTTTAGTGGTCAGCTAGTGCATATGCTAAGCTAGAGCAGAAGCACAAGTGCAGACCTGCTCAGAGGTTTCTGTGATGCAGAGCTGCTGTCCTTGGCCCCTAGCGCAGAGCTGGGTATGCACTGGTCAGCTGGTTACCTTGGACTTTCAAGAAAGGCCTTACACCACTGACCCATTGCATCAGCACCCAGACTTCAGCATGCCTAAGTTTGATTGCCTCACCGGCAAGGGGCCATATGACCCACTTCTGCTACTGCCTTTACACCCAATCCCGCCAAATCCAGTGTGGGGACCAAAGTCAATTTGGACACTCCAGACTGCCCCTTCTGGAAGCTACATCTGGAAGCAGAGACAAGAACTGCACCTTGCCTCCACCTGATTCTCTCCTAGGAGTGGTTTCCAGGCTCAGGTTTTTTGCTGACAGACCCCTCAACCTCTGGGAGCACAACTCACCTGCCTTGCCTTCCATGCAACCCCAGATCCAGGCTCTGCAGTGACAGGCCTTGACTCCCTTGGCTCAGACTTCCCAAGGTCCTCTGGCTGTGGCTGGCCAGCCTTGCAGCTCAGAGAGTCTGAAGGCCACGGATGCTGCTTCATTTGCTAATGGAGCACAGGCGGTTGCTGCTCTTACTGGCTCATCATTTTTTCACAAGCTCGAAGGGGAGAGGATTGAGATACTACTGCAGGTCACAGGGGCCCCACCCTCCCTCTCCACTACCTTGGGATCCTGCTCTCTCTCTCTGTCCAGATGACTGGGAGCAGGATGCACATGGAAATGTGACAACCCTGTCCCTGGTGGAGCCTGGGAGGACCAGACCAGCTTTGGGGTGATGGAGATCTCCTTGGACAGACAGTGACTCTAGCCTGTAGTAAAGGGGTCACCAAGGATCTTTCCCTGTTTGCCTTGGGGGAACCCAGAGGTACTCAGCATCCATAAGGGGATCTTCTAGGACACTCATCACCAAGAGCTCTCATCTTGGATGCTGCAACCATCTCTTTTATTGAGATAGTATTTCTAATCCTTATAACAATTAGAAAGGCAGATTTTATTATCCTTGTTTCACAGGTAAGGAAAATGAGGCTGAAGTTAAGTGAGCTGCCTGATATATGCAGGGCTGGGAAATGGTAGAGTGGCGTGGTTCCAGGGCAGCCAGGCAGGTCTCTGAGGCTCCAGGATAGATCCTTTCCTTGGTCCTGCTCACCACTGTAAGTGCAGCCTAAGCCCACATATCTCCAGTCTCTCTTTTTTTTTTTTCCAGTCTCTTAAATGAACACTCTCCTTGCTGTGACAGCTGTTCCAGGCCTTTCAGAGATAGAGATGGAGTTGGAAGTGGGGATGGGGAGGCTGAAACTAGTTTATAGGTTGGAAAGCAGAGAAGGAAATCAGTCATAGACAGCCCATTTTGGGACTGGGGAGGTCTCTTTTCCTTCTCTTCTTCCCCCAGTAGTCTTCATATCTCACCTGTTCTTCCTGTCTCCCTCATGCTGTTTGCCTTGGGTGGTACTAAGGACAAGGGTGGTACAGGGGCAGTGTACCAGGGGAAACTATAGGCAGCATGAAGGAGAGGGAGATGATGGGTCTAATCCAACCTGGCCACAGGTTTAATGTGCTAGCTGCTGGGGGTGAAGTGGAGAGTAGGAAGAAGTATTCTGGAATTATGGACCTTGACCATGGATGTGAAGAGGTTAGGGAGGAGGGGGAAAGAGTGCACATGGTTTGTTGGAGTCTGAGCCTCACACGCATGGACAATGGTGTGGCCAAAGCACAAAGCTAAGGCTTCTGCCCAGGTCATTTCTACTTGGATGCAAACAGATGCTGTGGCTGTGGCATCCAATCTGGATTCTTAATGGACCAAAAGATTTGTAAGACTCCACACTGGCCCACGGCTCAGTTCCTTTCCTGTCTTACTCATACTTCTCTCTGTCTCAGGTCCTGAGCAGGCTGAATAAGGTAATGCTAGGAAAATGTTTGGCCTCCTGAGATGAACAAGTTTAGCTCTAATGGTTTCAGTCTCCCAGACCTCAGCGTTAGACAAAATTGACAGAGAAGCAGGGACAAACTGCCTCTTTCGGATAGGACTATGTTCGAGCCAAAGAGCACAGCTATCAGTATCAGTCATCCTTTGTGATACCTTCAGAATGTGTTTGAGGAAAGTCAAAGAAGGTTGGGGGTGGAGTTTCAAGGAGAAGCAAGGGGCTCTTATCTCGTGGGAGTGGTGGTGGAGGGACCCTACCAGAACCTTCACTCACAAATATGTTCTTTTAAGCACCCTGATCTGAAATTTTACTTAACCTCAATGAACAAAAGGAAGGCCTCAGGTCCTGAGATCCCTGCCCTCAGGAAGTCACATTAGGAAGTTACTATTTCCATTAGAAATAGCATCCCATTTACAAAAGGATTTGTGGCAGGATCCCTTTCTTCCACAGCCACACACCCTGGCTGGGCTCCCTCCATATGCCAGGTGCTCTACCAGGTGCTGCAGCAAGCACTATGGCTGAGACCCAGGTTCTGCTCTCAAGGATCGAGCAATCTGGTAGGGAAGAGACACATGCACACTAAGCAGCATGTGTGGTGTGCCTCAAGAGAGGCAAAACAAAGTGCCCCGGAAATACATATGTCACC